GGGGGGTCAGGATGATTTACCCTAAGCTGGGCCCTCCTATAGCCCCTTTTTACACTCCCCACTCAGCTGGGTGGGAAGGAGCTGGCCCCCTTCCCCTCTGTATTTCCAAAACAAGGGGAAGCGAGGAGGAGGCAGAGCTGCAATAAAACAAATCGAGGCGATTTGAGCTCCATTAAGGTCACATTAGCGAGTGGCTCGGGGAGATAAGGGCTGATAAGGCGGCGGGGCGCAGACCACCTCGATCCTGCTGGTGGTGAAGGGAGGGGGATGCTGTGCGAGCCCCAACCACTGCCGAATTCCCATGCACAGCCCCAGTGCCTCCCAGTCCATTCCAGTGCTGCCCCGATGGGACTGGGCTGGCAGCCCTGCCATGGGTCCAACAAGAGCAGCACCAGTGTGGGGAGCAAGGCCAAACCTTGCCCAGTGTGGCAACGGGGTGATGCTGGGCCTTATCTGGGCGTCCGACTCTTTCAATTAAAATTCCTGGGGCTGGTGTTTGCTGATAGCCCTGACAGAGAGGGTGGCTGGGTTGGGCCGGTATCTCCCACACCCAAACCCGTCTGTTTGGAGGGGCTGGACAAAGAGCAGCCCCAATGCAGGGCTGGAATAGGAGGGAAAATAAATGCAGTGGGTTGGGGAGAGAGAGGTGCCGCAGGTTCGTCCTCAGCCCTGTGTAACACATGGGTTTGTTCCATCCCTCATTCAGAGCTTGGGATGCATCCATCACTGTGGGACAGCCCCACCACTGCTCTATTTCCCAGTGCAATGGAAAGGTTTGGACTGGAACTATTGGGCTTGCTTTCTTGTGAGGATTTGATAGTGATAAACACCGGGAAATACCTGGAAATGCTTCTCCCTCCTTTTCGTTTCCCTGCATCCCAAATGTTGCAATCCATTCCAGAGAATCATAGAATCATTAAGGTTAGAAAGACCACTAAGATCATCCAGTCTAACCATCGACCCATGCCTACAAGCACTCTAAATCATTTAAACCAACTGAACCTCCTCTGGCTGGGGGCATCCCTGGATTGTCCTACCCATGGTACCCCGTGGCCAAGTTTGCTGCTGCCCCATCCCCTTTAACCCAAGGAACCTCAGCCCCGCTGCGCTCATTGCCACGTCGAAATGGGACCCAAAGAGCACCACCAGGCAGAGCAAACAGGCAGTAACATTACACCTTGCCTTGTTGATGGCAGGAGGCAGCCGGCGCCAAGGTAAAATGCTTGGCTGAGAGCGAGACGAGCAGGAAGGAATTGGGGTGAGAGCCTTTATCCGCCCCCAGCGAAGGCACCCAGCAGAGATTGATGGCACTTGGCTGGATGTGCTCTCAGGGCTGCTGGCCTGGGGGAGCAGACAGGAAAACAGCAGGGTCCCTGTTCCTCATCCCATTCCGTGCTGAATTTTATTGCATCCACTCAGGGATATTGATATTGCCTCTTGCTTTAACTAGATTAAGTGAAAGCAGGAAGAGGATCCTCCTGGCTCATCTGAACTGGGTTCCTGTGGAGCTTGCTCATGTGGTTTCTGCTTTCTGGTGTTATCATCGGGCTCATCGAGGTGCTGTTGTGCTGCCGGAGCGTCTGAGGCTCTGGAAATGAGGCTCTGGAATGAGGCAGGAGGGTCTGCGCTCAGAGCAACGTGGGGATGAAACTGCAGAAGGCTTTCAATGGGCTGAAACCACAGCCGGGCAGCGCCGGGTGGTGAAATGTGGGCAGGAGGGGTGCAGGGCTGAATGCCCTCTATTTATCTCTCCCCAACCCCCAATTTTAGCCAAGTTACTGAGCCAAACCAGAGCTTCTCTGCTGCTCCACGGCGCCGTCACTCAGCGGCTGCGGGGCTGCTTCTCATCACCACCCTTTATCTATTCCTTCTGGATTTTGGAGGGGGGGGGGAAGGGGGGAACTTGTTGAAATCAGCGCGATTACGCAGACGGATGAGATCCCAGAGGCGAGGAGCGGCGTTGCCCGAACTTTTGGGCAGCAGTGCCCTCTGCTTGGCCGCTGGAGAGATGCAGCTCCAGCCCTGCGAGAGCTCAACACTGAGCAGCGAAGGGAGAAGGGACCAAAAATCCTTCCCTCCCTCTCCCCCGGTGCTCTTTTCCCCATAGGAAATGAAGCTGCGGGGTTTGGGAATCACTGAGCCGCACTCAGGAGATAAAAGCACTGCTTGCTGATGGAGAGCAGCGAGTTCTATTTAAATGGGAGGTTTTGGTGTTAGCATGAATAATTCGGTGTGCTGCTGGATGGGAAGAGTTCAAATTCCCCTCTCCAAGAATGACATTTTCAGTGCTTGGGACATGAGCAGAGAGCAGAGCTTTCTCATCTTTGCTTTTGCTGTGATTAAACCCCGTTCCCGAGGACGCTTGCAGTGCAATGCAATGCAGTGCAAGGAGGGAAGGAGGGATGGGAGCTGCAGGAGGCAGCGCTGGGTGCGAGCGCTGCTGCTTGTTGCAGGCGGCCTTCAGTCGGCAGATGGCACAAGAGCTGTGGTGGAGCGAGTGCGGCAGCTCGGGGAGAGTCTGATGCAAAGGGGAGAAAAGATGGTGAAAAATGGGGAAAAAGGGGTAAAAAAAATGGGACAAATAGGGAAAATGGGAAAAAGAAAGGGAAGAAATGGGGAAAAATAGGGAAAATGGGGAAACGATAGGAAAAAATGGGAGGAGATGGGGGGAAATGGGAGAAGATGAGGAAAGTGGGAAAAAATGGGGAAAAATGGGGAAA